TGAGCAACGTTTTGAGAAATTGCGGGCAACTTTTTGGGAAATCTCGAGCAACTTGTGGAAAGCACTAAAATAATATCCATATCGAGGATTTCCACTACACACTTTTCAACGATATGTACCTGAATCCTGATACATTGTATCACTTGACCTTAAGGAGGTTCGCGCTAATTGTTTCTGCGCATCCTTGCTGCGCGTGCAAATTCACACGCCACATCATGCATCGAGTTTGCGCTAAGTAATAAAATAAAGAATGATAGGGCAGATGGCCATTGCTATAGCTTTGCCTGGATTTAACGATCTTAGAGGTTCGGTGACCCCTATTTTTCTTTTTATGGATCATTTACGCTACCGATTTTCTACGTTTAGCGTAAAGATGAAGAAAATCTATCGATTAGAAGTTTCAGTTTTTGGCAAAATGCGGCATCGAAATCAGTCCTTTTTGACTCTTCGTTTATCTGTGCGGCAATTTTAAATGCCTCTTGAAGGGTTAAGTTTTGTGAAAACGTTGCCAACATTTGGAATTATTTACGCAACATGTTCCCTTACCTGAGAATATCACTAGGATAGTTTGTCTCCGTTGATTCATCTTTGAAATTTTAAGCTGAAAACCCTGGAGATCATGTTGATTTATGCGCGCCAATTTTTCAAAATCAGACTTGCTTTCCACACGCTTTATCTATGAAACGAAGTCCGTGACCCCCTATGTTTTTTTCATTTCTGAAACAAGTAGTGCATTATCTGTCCGCAGTAGAAGTTTGAAGAAAATCTATTGAGTAGAGCATTTTCGCGCGAACGTCCTTAACTCCGTTTTGACAAGGCAAACGTCAGAGAAATTAATTAACAAGCCTAGTCTTGACTACCTTTTAGAATGTTTTCTCCTGAGTACTTTTGTNTTCCCACCCACCCGGTCCGTACGCCTATGACAGGACTAAGACATCATCTTACGTCAGCATGAACAACGGTTGGCCAATCACCCACACAGTGAGAAGCCCAAGGCACCAGATTCCATAGTTCAATCTTGAGAATGATGTTTGATACATCGAAACGTCGTTTGACATTGCTTTTATTATTTCGTCTTCTTTTTAGTTCGCGGAAAGTTTCGACATCCTAAAGAGTAATAGAAACGTGGAAGGCTTCAATACTACCTACTTCAATATTACCTCCTCTTGATCTGTCGTGCTGTAAGTGCTCTCTGGTACACAATGTATTTCAAGGGAGTTTTTTCTCGTATATTGCTTCAGCTTGTCTTGTAGATCATATAGTTTGTATATTACGTCCTGTTGTTTGTTTACCTGTTTCCTTGCTGCTTCCAGGGCGCATTTAGCGTCAGCACATTGCTTTGAAGTCTTCTTCAACGAGGTTTTAATTTCAGCGACTTCGAGCTTCTGCTCTCGAACAGCAGTTGTGCATGTGAGTTCGGCCAAGTCATTCCTCATTCTTTTATTGTCCTGCATAATATTAGATGTGTCAAAGTCGATGTCGAGCACTATTTCTTTAATCCCCTCGAGGCTTGTTTTGCTTTAGGTGATTGCTTGTTCTTCAATTGTTGGGTCGTCATCCGGTATGGCCGCCATATTGGCGCGTTTGAAAGTATCAGTGTATTCTTCGGTTGAACCCTGAACCTCTTTCTTGTTTTTCTTACCTCCTGTTATTAACTGACTACGAGCGGATTTAGGCACTGTTTTGCAGCTAAGAATTTGTAATTATCAGCGATTTATAACAATTTGTAGACAGACTCCTTCCAAACACGTACATCCACGTCAAGCCCGCTCGACCTCATGATCGTGATATATTTCATGTCCGGAATGTGTTCTAAGCTATTGCTGCTTCTTTCTTGTACCTGAGATGCTTAACGTATAAACTGTTGTGTCGTTTCTTTTCGTGCCCGAGCTATTTTTCACTGGTATGCTACAATGATCGTTCGAGCAGAATATGTAGAAAATATCAATTTTCTAAGACACCTACATGGTATACGGCTGTGTAGCCAACAGTTCAAAGTCGATAAATACTTTTTGCTGACAATTCTTCCTAAACAGTTAAACGCTCAGTATGGCGACCCTCAAATCTGAAATATTATCGCTGGAAAATATGGAGTGCTATTCGTAGGCACCAGCTAGCAACACTGTGTCGAAATGAGTGAGAAACATCCTCCTTTTAGAATGCGAGATTTCATTCTGTAAAATAAAATTATTGTAATATACATGTTGCGATTATACACATTTTGTGTTTACTAAATTTGTCGACCAGAATCAGAATTGACCACTCAGGGATCGATGTTATAGTATTTGTTGTCGATATTGTTACCAGCGGATGTTTCAAGGCTTGCTCAAGAAAGGCTCAGTTAAAGCTTTCTCAGTACTGAAGGCATAATTTTGACTTTGTTTCTCTGTTCTTGTAGGAAGCTCCATCAACTTGATCTTAAATATTTTAAGGTCAACGTTATACAGAATGTTACAAATTACACTCTTGGCAGACGAATGGAAATCTTCCAAAGGCGGTCTTTCGACCATGAACAGAGAGTTGGCTATAGAGTTGGCTAAACGACCCAATGTAGCGGTCACTTTCCTTGTTCCGAAATGCGGTGAGACAGACAAAAATGCAGCTTGCAGGCATAAGATTCAAGTTGTAGAGGCACAAGAACGACCCGGCTTTCCACCTGTTGATTGGTTGTGTTTCCCACCAAAAGATCTCGTTATTGATGTTATCGTTGGTCATGGCGTACCGCTTGGAAGGCAGGCTCAAATCATAAAGGAAAGCCATTGCTGTACGTGGATGCAAGTCGTACATACCACCCCAGAAGAACTTGCGATGCACAAAACGTATCCTGATGCCATCTCCAAAGGTGACGAAAAACAATGGACTGAATTAAAACTGTGTAAAATGGCTGATTTTGTCGTAACAGTTGGACCCAAACTTTTTGAGTTCTACTCAGTTCACCTCGAGCAGTTTGGTAAAACTGTCTTTAATCTTACCCCAGGTATTTTTACTGAATTATCTGATTTGGCACCATCGACCCAAGGAGCTAAGAAGTTTCGTGTTCTGTTATTCGGACGTGGTGACTCTGAAGATTTCGAACTTAAGGGACTCGACATTGCTGCTAAAGCGGTCGCCGAGTTAAATGACAGAAGTTACCAACTCATTTTTGTAGGTGCACCTCGTGGAAAGGAAGCAAAAGTGAGAGATGAGTTACTCGAGCAAGGCTTACACCGGAATCGAAGTCAACTGACCGTGAAAGGATTTATTGAAAATCGCGAGGACCTAGCTACGCTGCTACCTACGGCTAATCTTGTTGTTATACCTTCAAGAACCGAAGGATTTGGTTTGACAGCCCTAGAAGCCCTATCCGCTGGTTTGCCATTCCTTGTTAGTCAGAACAGTGGATTTGGTGAAGCGCTGGAAGAAATACGTCCTGGTCTTTCTTGGATCATAGATTCGGATAATCCAGAGAAATGGGCTAAGGCCATCAAAGGTGTACGAGAAAAAGGCAGAGAAACAGCACTAAAGGAGTGCCAAGAACTACGCACTCTCTATGCTGAGAAGTATAGCTGGGAGAAACAGTGCAAAGATCTTGTGGAAACGATGCTACCTTTGGTTAAGGGTAAATAAAATGCCTAAAGGCAAGATATTTTTGAGGTCTTTTGAACGTTAATCAAAGTTTTTTGTTCAACAAATTAAAAAAGCGCTTTTTCCCAGTAAAGGTGGTTTGAGCCAGACCAGAAAAAACATGTTCAAGCTAAGCGCGACGGAATGTTGAAATAATCGATGATTATTCAGGTAAATTATTCTGCCTCGTCCTGTACGTGTGGTGTCTTTTGTCTGGGATAAGCCATCAACGAGTTCGCCTTATATTATCTCCGTTTCAAAACGAGTCCTGGTGCACAACCTTTCATATGGCAATGGAAAACTTATTTTTATGTGACAGAACTGGTATATTTTCAATTCCGAAATGAATACGTTATGAAAAAATCTTACTAGAAGAAGTTGTTGACCTCAGATTTTTCTCTTTGAGGGGACTTTTCGAATGGGTTAGAAGAATGGAGCTTTGAATTAAGTGTCAGGTGTATCTTTCAAAAACACACTTGTGTTACAGTCGACAGTGGAGGGGTTAGGTAGATGTACTGACTAAATTTTTTTTCATGCTTTCCTTAGATAAACTTCAAACTTCAAACAGCGATCAAGGGGCCAGGCCAAGAGAGGCGCCCCCGGATCCTCTTTCAAGCATTGATAGAACCAAGCTGAAAGGTTAGAGGAGTGTTTATATGTTATTTGTTCGCCGATCCTGACATAGCTGTGGTATTAGTTTGGTGTCGACCATTTAAATTTTCATTTTCCGTCTTACCTTACCGATCCTCTTCTCTAATTCTTTTTAGAACAATAACTATTTGTCAGCTGCTCTCTCCCCCATTTCCCTCACTACCAAAACATACTGTATAACTTGTGGTGCATTTTTGTCGTAGCAATCTGGAAACTAATTTGATCCGTATAGCGTCTCGGATTGGTTTTCACCTGCGCGCGAAAATTTAAAACACCGAGAGACTAAAACCTAGGATTATGTAATTGATTTGGGTGGGGGAAGGAGGGGTGGGTACATCAATTTCAGCTCCTCGCGTTTTCCTTTAAGCCCTACAGGAAATTATATTCATACATGCTTGATATTCTTTTCCCTTGCCAACCGCTATGCTCGCTATGTTTTTATTATAATCTCGCTATGTGTTATCATAATCGGAAATGTCTGCTCAATTTTTTTGGGAGGATTTGTCCAGTCTTTAACTATATCGAGCATTAATATGCTATGGTCCACCCCCTAGGTATGGATTTTGTTGTCAAACAAATGTTGTCGATGTCACTTGTGTATAGTATATCACGCGAAAATGAGACTGGTTTTTATTGTTTTTGTTATTGAGAAATCAATTTGTGAAGTGTTTTAAGGTAAAAGAACTCCAAGCTGTTTTCCGTATTTTATGAAATTACAAAAAAATATCGTTTCATTATTTCCAGTTTGAAAATGATATGAGAGATAGCTCGAAGCCTGATTAAGCTCTGTATTACCGTGAAAAAAAATAACAAGGTTCTTGTTCTCGAGGATCTGTGAAACTGTAAACATTTGTCTTTTTTCCCTAGAATTGACCATTCTAATGATATCATAAATAAATAAATCTGCATTGCCCTGTCAAAAATGAATGACTATTCGCACAAAATAACAACTGAAGGTTCTTGTTCTCGAGGATCTCCAAAACTGTAAACATTCGTTTTTTTTCCCCTTAGAATTGGCCATTCTTGGCTCTAATGTGTCAAGGGATTCCATACAGGCCGTGTGGCAAGTTTTTGCGGACATTCGTTCCCCACTGATACACCAGTTGAAAACTTTGCGCCCCTCGAAGTCAAGTGATTTTTATTGGCAAAACAATGAACGTGCAAGAAAAACTCATTTTGAAAGGTTAAAAGACTCGTTTTGAAACAGTGGTAACTAGGCACAACTCGGAAATAGCTTATCCCAGACAGAACTGGTATATTTTCAATTCCGAATTGAAAACGTTATGAAAAAATCTTATGACAAGAAGCTGTTGACCTGAGAATTTTCTCTGTGAGGGGGCTATTCGAATGGGCTAGATCTAGAAGAATAGACCATTGAATTAAGTGTCAGCTTTCCCTTTCAGGCACACTTGTGTTACAGTCGACAGTGGAGGGGTTAATTAGATGTGCTGACTAAAATTCTTTTACATGCTTTTTTAGAGAAACTTCAAACTTCAAACAGCGAGGGGCCAAGGTCAAGGCAAGGGGCCAGGCCTAAAGAATCGCCTCCTTCTAGCATTGATAGAACTAAGCTGAAAGGTTAGAGGAGTGTTTATAAGTTATTTGTTCGCCGATCCTGACATAGTGGTAATCGGTTTAGTGTCGACCATTTCCAGTTTGTTAGATTCAGTCACTCAGTCAGCCGGTCAGTCGGTCGGCCGCTCAGTGCGAAAGGTGACTTTTAAGATTAGTTAAACTGATAACCCTTTGGCCCTCATTGTGTATAAAAACGGGTCACCTTCTTAGCCAGAAAAAAAATCTGGTCATTGAATTCGCAAAAAGACCTCGAAGATTAAAATTCAGAACTACGCTCTTACGAAAATTCTCCCATGAAAAATCTCGACCTCCCAGGAGGCGGGAGGAGGGTTTCAGATTTAATAGGATATCGATTTGGGCTGTGATGGGACAGGATCGCTACCTTTGAAATGTACCACTTAAAAGAAAATCGTTTTGTTCCGTATAGCTGAAGACAAAATGCCACTGCTAGGCAGTGTGTCCGAACCTGAAAGAAATCGAGTGGAGGACAAATCAGTACAGCCACCAAGACGGAGAAACTCCTTGCAGGAGGATCAGCCCATTACAGAACTAAGAACAGAGAGCATTTTCTTTACTGCTAAACAAAGTAGAAAGTTACATCTCTTCAACTGTGACCGGACCTACAATTTAGACGTCGTCGAAGATCTGTTAGCAGCAATGAAAGGAAAACTCGGCTTCGGCTCCGGGGAGAAACACTATTTTTCGCCCTCTCAGATGTCTGACATGACCACCAATATCATTCCCAACCTACAAATGGACATGGCATTTTTTGTAGTCCATGCACACGACTCTCGGCTGTCGATCAACGAAGACAACGCTGGAATCGGTTACGCAAAGATCTACAGAGCTCTACTGGAAGCAACGGGTGAGCATTGAGGCGTAAGCACTTTTACTGGGTAGATTTCCTTAGTTTACCAGTTTTAACTCAAACTTTTAAATATATTTCGCAATACTTCAGTTCAAGGTAAATAGCGTTTCATGTGCCGTGGAACCTCCACTGACTACCAGCTGTCTACAACGGCCACTTTTTTGTCCCGACGGACAATCCATACATTCGCTTTTATTTTAACCCTCTCTACAACGGCACCTCTTCTCACTGACGGTTACGGCCACTAAAGCGGGTCCCAACTGCCAAAATAATTTCTCGACAACGGCCAGTTAACCAACAACTGACGAGGCCAGTTAACCAACGACTGAGAGGCGCGGTGGCTTCATGGTTAGTGCGCTCGTCTCCGGATCGAGCGGTACGGGTTCGAGCCCTGGCCGGGGACATTGTGTTGTATTCTTGGGCAAGAAAGACACTTCACTCTTACAGTGCCTCTCTCCACCCATGTGTATAAATGGATACCGGCGAACTTAATGCTGGGGGTAACCCTGCGATGGACTAGCATCCCATCCAGGGGCGAGTGGAAATACTCCTAACGGCTTCATGCTACAGAAACCGGGATAAGCTCCAGCCCGGTGGGCAACTTGGCTCGTATGCAAACTTTTAATTTTTTTTTTGACGAATGATGCATACCATAACCCACTTTTTATTGTAAAAGATTACCAGACTTGATCTGTTCCAAGTGTCGCTGGTCTTTGCTTTTTTTGTTTTGGTTTTAGTTTTATTGATATATTTTGATTCCGTTACGTATTTATATCCTACAATAAGCATTTTTTAAAAACAATAAAAGTTATACCCCGAAATCAAACAAGTGTTATATTATATCCCTACCTCCCCCAAATTGCCAGCTCTCTATAAAGCCCACTTTCACTTTCCTCTGTCCCCAAAGTTGCCGTGGTGCAGAGGTTCGACTGTAATCAAATTCCGCATACTTTTGACCATGTTGTTATCGACGTCGGCCAAAAGTAAAACTCCACCGACACATTTGTTTTTGCCCTGAAAGGACACGGGATAGATTGAAGGGGAGGTAATAATTACCATAAATCTCTTGTTAAATAATGTTATTGAAAAGTGTTTCAACCAGAGGCAATGAGACAATAGGTAAGTATATTTTTGCCATTTCGCTGAGACACAAATTAGCTGTTTCATGCAACGTTTGTAATATACACGTCTCTCGCTAATTGGTAGACTCTTTTTACAATTGTTACGGCAAAAGCTGGATCGAATTTTGCACAACTGAACATTTTTTCAAGAAAGGTTGTAGCACAAACTAGGGTACATTCTCAACTTGTACGCAACAATGCCGAAATTAACGTGTTTTGGGCGGTAAGTCTTTGTGCAATGCTCCAGTACGATAGACGAAAAAATTCGCTTTCCTTCGCCCTGGAACACCGTGAACTGCGATCAAACAAAGACAAACTATAAACTACGCATGAGTACCTTTCGTTATTATTTTACACGCCTTTACACTTATTAGGACAGCCTTTCTCAAAACAGCTTCATATCAAGTCCCTCATTGGCGGGGCTGTGTGTGGGTATAAAACTAACGCAACCTCCAGTGGCCAAACAAGAACAAAGTCTCGATCTCACTTCGAAACAAATTCAGTTGGAGATAAAAGGAACATTGCGTTATATTTTGGTGTAAACACAAGTACTGTACTATCTTGGAACATCTAGGGAACGAGGGAAGAGTACTGGAAATTTTGACTTTTTTTTCCTCCGTAGGACGGAAAGTCATTATCATTATTGGAGGGGATGACAACTACGAGAGTGAAGACGAAGAAGAACGAGTCGTCATTTCACGATGGGCAAGGAGGAAGATGAACTCACAATTTAGTGACGAATATTTAGATGGAAGTAAAAGTTTCATCTTTTCTTGGAACAAGAAACACAGAGCAATTCACGAAGAAGCATTACTGCATTACTTTAATCCAAGCAAGAAAGGAGAGAAGTTTGAAATTCAGCCGAAACCAAAGCAACCGGAAATCGTTAAATCGGCACAGACAACGAGCGAGAGAACCCTTTTGCGGAAATATCAGTCCATGGTTGAACAAAGAAGACGAGAAGGTTTTGGAAGCAGCAACTCCTCCAGTGTTGAACAAAGACGACAGGACTTCGCTTCCAGTCGCTCGTACAGTGCCGACCAAACCAGTGAGCACAGCTTTTCCGATCGTTCCACGGACGCTAAACCAAGAGAAGACGATAACAAATTCAGTCATCCCAGCAGTAGTGAATATAGGAGAGACGACAACCTATTCAGTCGTCTTAGCAGTACTGAACAACGAAGAGAAGGCAGCATATCCAGTGATTCCAGAAATGTTGAACAAAGAAAAGATGGCCCCTCCCTAAGCAACCTCGGTAACGACAAATACAGGGTTAATAAAGCACTTGTTCACCCCGTACAAAGAGCCTTGCGTTCGAAGACTGAAGGTTAGAAAGATGTTTATTATTTATAACTGTTATCTCAAAAGAAAGTTGGATAAAGATATTTATGCGCTAGTTTATTTACCGTCAACTTTCGTGTTCTGAAAAATTCACGCATGCCTATTTAGTCTATTGATCTTAACATACACTCGGGCCGCAAACAACCACTTTTTTTACCAAAGAACATAACGCACTGACCCTTTCCAGAGCTCTATCCCAGACTGCTCGATCGGCAATACAGCATGCCAACCATTAGGCCAAACTGCGTCTCGGACAACGATGTAATATTATACTGTCATTGAAAATACTCGCCTATGGCTCCTGTTTTCTACATTTTTCTCCTGTTCTAAAAAAGAGACGTGCTTGATGACTCTTGACTCAATTTTTGAAAAGATGACAATTGTTGAAAAAATGACCTTTCGCCCTATAAAATTTTTCTGAGAAAAGAGGGACGATCATTTCACGTGAGAGGGTGGAAATAAGTGACCTGCATCTAAAACGCGTTTTTGTTGGGTTGGATGATAATAGTAAAATCCGCCACCAATTCCCCAAATAATGGCTATTTTCGGCTAAACGTCACGTGACATGTCACGGAACCTATCCGAAGTACCAATTGTACTTTAAAATGCTCAGGACGTTGTGCTAAATTTGGTTTCATTGTCATTTATGTCTTCGGAAATATAACTAATAATAAATTTTTACTACTAAAAGTCTTTGACCCAGGCCTTAAACTACTTGAGGAGTTTATATAAAGTCCATTACACCTGCTACGACGATGCAAATGAACTCGTTAGTTTTCTCAGCGGATAGTCTTAATACAGTATCACTTTAAGTAACCGCCCTTTGAACAGCGAGGGAATGATGAAAACTATCGATCCAGGAGCATCCTCCCCAAGGAATATATCTACAGTATCTTCAACTCATCCCGCTTTCCTTTACCGAGTGCCCTCGCCTTTCACTTATCCCAAGATCGAGTGAATCCCTGCACCACCCACCCAAGTAATAAACAATGGCCGGTGCCTTTGCCTCCAGGTTCATGCATGGTATCGTATTGTGTTGTATTGCATCAAATTTGCAATTTAAGGGCCCATTAACCGATTTATGCGCGCGCTCGCGCGCGTTGCTAAGGAGGTGAAATTTCACTTCCGGTTACTTACGTCAGCCTGAGCGCAGAAAATAAAGATAACTCAATAACTTCCAAATTCGCTCACATTTAAAGTAAAAAAAAAGCACAAGCAAAGACAAAATAAGAGAAAGACAGAAAAGCAAGAGCAATAGAAAGAGAAAAACCAACTCCGTGTGGCTTTGTTTGATCTTACCGAAGTGTGCTGGTAGTGTAAATTGCGCACGCGCTGATAGGGTAACTTCCAATATATATCGGGCGCACTTCCGGTTTCTTTAAATGCTAAAGGAGACGCGTTTTTCCTTAAATCCAGCCTTTTTTGACGGATTTCGATTAAAGCCAACGTTGGAAATATAGCTATGTATTCCTTTTTCAAAATCATGCTTTTTTCAGAAAATGACGAACTTTTTAATATTTTGAAATTCTCTCAAAATCTGACCTTTTAGAAATGAAACAAAATCTATGCATAGCGTAATGAGGATTTAAATTAAAATATTAAATTAATGAAAAAAATTCCGATAAAGTAATTTGCCTGGGAGCCTTTGCGTTTTTTCAGTATTAGTCACATGATCATGGGCGTGGCCTGATGACGTCATCACTAGTGTTGCTGGTCATGAAAAAGTTAAAACACATGAAATAACTCTGAAGTAACTAAAAATGACGAGATTATATGAGAATAAATTTTCCCTAGCAACGGCTCGAAAAATCGGTTAATGGGCCCTTAACTACTACTGATGTTAACTGAGAGTGAAAATGAGCTAAAAAGAATGGTGATTGTAATTTATCTGTTATGCAGTCTCCTGACGAAAACTACATGTTTAAGCATAAATATATCTATATATATCTCTCAGAGGATATTATTTTGAACAGTGTAACTAAAAACTGCAGCCATTTCTTTCGTTCTTTAGACTTGGGAATTCTTTGCTGTAATGTGTCAGAGGATTCCATACGGGCCGTGTTGCAAGTTTTTCAAGACATTGCTCCCAAACTGAATCTCTCGGCATGTCCTCCATTTGAAAACCTTCCGCTCCATGAAATCAAGCGATATTTGACAGAAGTCCATCTCAAGGCCTGTGTACTAGTGGTGGATGGCGAAACAATCAAAGATGCTTACTTAAACCTACCTCCACGAAAAGAAGAATACCAAGGACTTCTGGAAACAGTGGCAAATACAGTTGGTAAATGAGATTAGAGATTATTCCCCGAAATGCATGAGAGTCTTACAACTTGTCCGGTTCCATTATTTTGTTCATGGGTAGTGTGCTCAGTAAGCCCAGTTCATAAAATAACTGTTAGCTTTCTCTTTACGCGTATTGAAACGGCTCTCGCAATTTTAGGGTAATTTTTAAATATCACTTGTAGTGAAAATCCTCAGGGGCGTAGCTACGGGGGTGGGAAGGAGGGTCCTGGGGTGCCTGTGGCCCCTCTTTTTGTAAGCCTTCAAGTTTTTTAAGCAAACAACCTCCAACAGGTGGCAAAAACGACATGAAAGTCTGGTGAGTACCCTCACTTTGACATAGTGTGACCCCCTTTCCCCTTTGAAAAATCCTGGTCCTTAACCCCTGATCCTTAACTTGCACTCGCTTTGATGCGACTAACTATACCAACTTCACTATAGTTCTGAAATAAAGTTGCAGAAGTCCATAAAGATTTTTATAAATGACAACAGCAAATAATCCATTTGTCTTTATAGTTGAAAAAGTCATCATTTTGGTCTGCGATAACTGCTCTTTACCACCAATGNGAATACCGAGAACTTCTGGAAACAGCGGCGAGTAGAGTTGGTAACTGAGATTAGAGATTATTCCTCGAAATGCATGAGAGTGTTACAACTTGTCCAATTCCATTATTTTGTTCATGGGTAGTGTGCTCAGTAAACCCAATTCATAAAATAACTGTTAGCTTTCTCTTTACGCGTATTGAAACGGCTCTTGCAATTTTAGGGTAATTTTTAAATATCACTTGTCGTGAAAATCCTCAGGGGCGTAGCTACGGGAGGGGGGAGGGTCCTGGGTGCCCGTGACACCCTCCTTTGTACGGCTTTTTTAAGCAAACAACCTCCAACAGGTGGCGAAAACGACATGAAAGTCTGGTGAGTACCCTCACTTTGACATAGTGTGACCCCCCTTCCCCTTTGAAAAATCCTGGTCCTTAACTCCTGATCCTTAACTTGCACTCGCTTTGATGCGACTACCTATACCAACTTTACTATAGCTCTTAAATAAAGTTGCAGAAGTCCATAAAGATTTTTATAAATGACAACAGCAAATAATCCATTTGTCTTTATAGTTGAAAAAGTCGTCATTTTGGTCTGCGATAACTGCTCTTTACCACCAATGGACGAAGAGATCGTCATTCGAACAATTGAAGACACAATAATTCGAAGAGGAAAGGGCCATATTGCGTGGTTGAAAAATGGAAAGCTGTCTGTCGATCCCGATGCTTTGGTCCATTGTCTGATGTCGACATCACGAACACCTCAACCAAATCCACAGAGGAATCCTTCAAAAGCTTCCCAAGAGAAGAACAGTGATACCAGGGGCTCAGCAGCGGAATCGTTTTCCACCTCCTCAGGGCAATCACAAAGTGATCCTCCTCAAAGAAAAGGACGTGGGTGCACTGTACCAAATATGCAGCTCCCAACGCAACGAGCCCCAGCGACAACTCGGCTATACCATCCTCCTGTTACAACTCGTACGGGAGAGTCTGTCTTGCTGAGAAGTTCACTTTTTAATGGAAGAATATCTTATCAGCCAGAAGATCTTCAACTATGGGACCCCGCATTTACGGTCCCGGATCACATTAATCAAAATCTGTTTCAACAGTATCA